CCCTAATTCTAAAAAGATCACGAAATAGGAATATTAATGATCATGAACCAATTAACGTATTCCCCCAGACCTGGCTTTATAGAAAACATCTGGAAACCATTGCAAAACATTATTCTAAAGTGTAAAAGCTTTTCAAAAATTGTGAACATGTTCTGAAGAAAGTGTAGTCGAAATGTAACGTGTTAGTTTGGGGTAGGATGTGAGCTCGATGCCGTAAGGAATCGAGGCGATATTGAAGCCATATAGAGGGTGGGTAATGTATTAGTTAATGTTAAAGGCTCTCAATTTCGGTTTCACTCCGAGCGTGGCCTATGAGGTCGGCTCAGTTTGGTTTATCTAACTCTGAACTTGAAACGGAAGGAGTTTGAGAAAGAGTTGTTTCAATTTCCTTACAAACACTCAAAAAAAATTTTTATGTATATAAAGCAGAAATGAAATAAATCGAAATTTTCATTTTTTAAAAAAATCGGGCGGCGACTGTACATGTATTGATTTTTACATACGCAGATCGGGCAACACTTTTTGGTGATAAATTAGATTACCAAATTAACGTTAACGTTAATATTAATACCCCGACCAAGTGATTTCTAAGCACCAAAAAAACAGTATTGCTAAGTAACAACTATTGTCGCGGATCATTGTGAAATTTATATAATATGTTGATTATAAGGTTGGGGTTAGGGTTAAAGATTAGAGCAGCGTCAAGTTTATATGTAAAATTATCTCTGACAATTTTTATTAGTAACGGTAATTGTTAAGTTTGTACATGTAATTGTATGCATACGTATGTACATGTATTTATTAATTGAAATACAGATTGATCTTTAAACTGCAGTTTAAACTATAGTTTAACTAACCAAGTTAAACCGTTTTGTATCAGTTTTAGTTCAGACTGTAGTTAAACGATTTGTTTCAAACCAGTTAACGTTAACAATCATAAAGATATACACAATGTAGTGTTAGATAACATAACGAATATTAGACACTGTAAAATGTCTAGATCGTTCTATTTTCATAAATCTTGACCAGTTAAATTTTTGCACGTGATTTTAATATGAGCATCATGTGATCATTTGTTATATACAAATACATGTAATAATGGGTTAGCTAAACGAGTTCGAATGTGATATAGAATGATTTACTATGTTTGTTCGGTATAACCAGCCCAATTATTTATAAAACATTCGGTTCCGAAAATTTGGTTCATTCTATCCAGATTTCTGTATAGCCAGGTTCGTTATAGCTAGCGTTGACTGTATACTTGTTCATCTTCTATAATGATACTAACGAGAGTAGATGGCTGTTTTCAATGGAAATTGTGATTACAATAATCGAGATCAATAAAATACAGTATACCGATACGGTATACTGTAACAAGGTCTATAACTTTAATTAGAGCCATTTGAAATTTGAATCGAACTCAACCAAACTCAAACTGAACTTGAACTGAAACAAAAAGTTCAGTTTGTCATTAATTTTTAATGTAAAGGGATAGGCATATGTATAATCATGAGTAATTATTGAATAAATTAATAACGTAATATCAAAATGATGCTTTATTAAATATGGAATCATTCAAATGATTCTTGAGAATTATTTGTATAGAGATACTATCTTGATGATGTCCGTCCTAAAATAAGATCCTGATAAGAAATAGTAATGAGAAATATGGTCGTTGAAGGAATTCAGGGAATAACTCTGCAACGGTTACACCGGAAGCTCACATAGTCCGTAGTTAATATTGCTGGTAGGAGGGGTAATAGCACCACCACTGTAAAATACAAGTGGAGTCTTTTGGTAGTCATCTGTATTCCAGGAACCCACCCAAGCCGGACTGTATTTTTGTTGAAGCTTATTGGCTAGATATGCGAACTCGTCGGGCCCAAATATTTCAGCTAGCGTTCCCCCCATTCTATTACATTCGGTATTTGCATCCGCCCACGATTCTTTGTCGAGCACACAATATTTTGTAATAGTGTCAAAAGTTGGGATATTATCTACGCATAAAGCATCGGATACAATTGCGGAGAAGCAGATGGATACAATGGTCACCCCAAAGAGAATTGTGAAGAAGCGCATTTCTTTTTTCAATTACGTTTTGTATCACTAATTGTTTTATCAAAAAAAAAAACGAAAATGCCTATCTCTATTTATATCTTTAGGTCATCTACTGCGGATTGTGAATACTGAAACACAAAATATCATTGTCCAGTTTGTAGAACCGAAATGGTATTTTCATTGTGCGTGCGTGTGTAGATCGATTCTATACATGTACGTATGTACATTGTGATAGAACATGCAATTACATGTCTATGTAGATATACGTTTTTTATGTATACGTACGTATATGTATCAAGGAAGTAACAAAAATGATATTGATATTACATGTATTTGATATACTTGAATATTCACGAGCTATATTGTTAAAATTAACGTTATGCATGGAAATGATACAGAACGCATATAATATAGCGTTCATCACTAAACCACAAATAACAAAAGTTTCATTGTTAGGTTCTTTTGAATTGTCTTTTAAAACCATTGCCAAATCCAAATTCATACAGTTCAACAATAGGTATTGAAAGCTTTGTCCGTCAATGTGCAAAAACAAATCCCAAAGAACATCGGCAAAATATATACAGTACATGTATATATTGTGCATTTATACAACAAGATACAAATAAAAAATATCAGCATTGAACTAAAAGAAAATTTAACTACAGTAAATGAATTGCGCATTAGATGGCATAGCATTTGTTGACATCATTTTCCCAGCAATTGGCTAATTCTTCTTCTTTATTAAGGATTAGAATTCATCTTTGAGTTCACTTTATCGTTATAAAAAGAAACGAGATCTATATGTGTGATTGTGTTGAAAGAAGAGTCTTACTTCATTGTGCGTTTAAAAGGAGCTTCCATTTGTGAAATCTTTTATGTAACGGAAAGTGTCTTTGACCATTCATGAATGTAAATTCGATTATGATATTTCCTAATTTAGATCTCTATTGTGCATTATCATTTTTGCTATGTGAGTTCTATGAAGATATCAATATGATGTTGTGCTTTCATTTTATGTGCATGTATATCGATATGTACTGTATATAGGGTTGTTAATGGACTGTGTTCATATTACGTATAGTGGAACAAAGAGTCAATCAAATTGAAACCACTCCAGGTTCATCGTTGCTCCAATACTGCTCCAGCTACTCCGAAGTACTTATAAAAGTCACATGTAATGAATTTGATTGGATATTAATAAACAAGTTTCAAACTCGAATTTCAAAAATATAAAAGAAAAAAAATTATAATTTTATGATTCTAAAAAAAACAAACTTCATACTCGTGTTTCAAAATAAAAAAATTAGGAAACAATAATCATGAATTTATTTACTTACATCCACTTGGTCCTACAATTTTTGTCTTTTTCTCTTTTGACATAACGAAACTAACACTAATAATATCCAAATACTATATTTTGAATTTGTTTTTACTAATTTGGAAAATTGAGAGTCAGTAGTTTCGCGTCAGAAATATTCTAAATCACCAGAATCATTAATTCATTTGACTTGACAAAAAACGAATTTATTTTTTAATCACAAAGCTATTTCGTTGGTTATTTTTTAAATAGATTATCATTCTTGCTCCGGGTTACTCCAGATCACTCCATATCGATATGGAGTATGGAGTGGTTTTGATTTATATAATTATGGCTCCAGATTTAGAAATTACACAGTAACCCAGAGTAGCTGCTCCATTTAACAACTCTAACTGTATATTGAATAAAGTATCTTTCTTCATGATCACATCCATTATAGTTAAAAATTGCAATGATGCTTTATAAATTGATCCAAAGCCACCTTTGCAAGATATTCAACATTGATAAATTTTTCAAAAGAGATCCATTTAAAGTTGGTTAAAGATATCTTTGTCAGCAATTTTCTTGCTTTTATTAGACTGTCAATATATTTATTTTCGCTGGACTCTTCAACGTCATGAATTCGTTTATAATATTCACTACATCTATGACAGAACTTATTTGTTTTGACAACGACTACATTTACTACAATTATGAGTATTGTGAACTGAACACTCATTGCAGTATGATGCATAAAATCTAAAGTCATCAAATCTTTGTATTTTATAAAATAAATAAACTTCTTTACTAAGAATAAAATTTAATCTGTAATTATGCTTAGAAAAGGCCTATTCTATCATATTATGGATTAAATTTTGTATTTACTTTTTAGCAAAGAAATTTATTCATTTTATAAAATACAAATATTTGATGACTTTAGATTTTATACATCATACTATAATTTGTAGTTTTACTTTTCTAAACTTTTGCAAGATTATGAGTAAAAGTTGAAAATACAGAATCAAGTACTGATTAAAAAATTATAATGGTGTCTTTTATAGTACACACCCACGAATTTCTTATAAATTCAATAAAAAAATAATCAGGCAAATCCAGTTTGTTTAGTTCCAAAAAACCACAGGTTTAGTTATAAATTTTCATATTAAAAATTGATTAAAAATGAAAATAACGGAGAAAATAAAAAAGATTTTGTCTGATAACTTTGGAACATGATAGTAATTGGATTCACACCCAGATTGACTCGAGTCATAATTTTTCTGACTCGAGTCAGTGATATTTTGACTCAAGTTATACAGTGGCTCACACATATAATATAACAGAATACGAAATTAACTTACTAGAATTTTTATTTCCATGATTATTAGTTTGAACAAAATAAAAAATGTTCATTTGAAACCTTAAAAATAATTCAGCAACAGATTATTTGTGAAATAAAGTAATTTAAATCAAAATTTACAATTAGTAAATTTCTCACATCGAAAAACTTTTTTTTTATAACAGATTCAAATTTGGATCACTAATTAAAAATATTTTACTCTATAAAATCTACCTATTTATCAATTTTTATAAATATTAAGACTCTAAGACTGAATTTATACTAAAGTATTAATACATAAATTAATATAGTCAAACTTCTCTATAGTCACCACCCTTGAAAAAGCAAAATTTGGTAACTATAGAGAAGTTTTTTTACTATATTTATATGTAAATGTGAAAACAAAATAGAATGACTATAGAGAGATGTGAATATAATAATTTTTATGAAAATTGTAAATAGGTAGATTTTATAGAGTAAAACATTTTTAATTAGTGATCCAAATTTGAATTCATCATAAAAAAAAAGTTTTTTAATGTGAGAAATTTACAAATTGTAAATTTTGATTACAATCACTTTATTTTACAAAATAATCTGTTGCTAAATCATTTTAAAAAATATTAGTAGTTTCAAGATTTCAAATAAATATTTTTTTTTGTTTGAACTAATAATTATGAAAATAAAAATTCTAGTAAGTTAATTTTGTATTTTATTATATATGTAAGTCACTATAAATTACTTGACTCAAATTATCTAACTTGAATTAACTTGTATTATGACTTGTATTCTGACTTGATTTAATTTGAGTCAAAATGAATTGATTTGAGTTTAATCACTAAAATATAATATCTCATAATTCACTGATTATCTGAGCAAAAAATACATTATTCAATTTGTTATATTTTGATAAATCAAATAACATATTTTTTGTCTGGATAATTAATGAATTATGAGATATTATATTTCAAAGTTACCAGATAAAATCTTTTTATTTTCTCTATTTTTTAAAAAAATGAATTAATATCTCATAATTCACTTAATCAAATTAGATAAAGATAAAACTTTATATTTACTTATCAACTATTAACTAAATATTGGAATTTAACCTGATAAATTATAAGATATCATACTTTAAATTAAGTGTTTCAAATTAAAAATTTTTTTCAAAAAATCAGTAACTTTGAAACATAATATCTTATAATCTAAAGAATAAAAAATTGTTAATTTCAAAACTTTACTAATTTAACTTTAATAATAATTATTAAAAATATATATATTACTTATTTTAATTAATTTGAATTTTTTTTGAATGAATAAATTTTGAATTCTTGCTGAAGTATTTCAATACTTTTTGGAATGCATTAATATAATTTATATTTTTGAATAATATATTTTACAAATAAATTTATTAAATTCTTTTAATATATATTTCTATAATATAATAATTTTTTGAAAACTTTTTAATATATAATTTAAAATAGAATTTGAAATAACAGAATATATTTTTTTAAATTTATTAATATATATTAACAATTTTCAAATATATCTCTTGTATTTACCAATAAAATTCAATTTGCAATTAAATTTGAAATAAAAATACAAAATATTTAGTCTTTTTTATATTATTGGATTTTTATTTACAAATCAGATTGTATTACAAGAATTTGATATAAGTAATAATTAATAGATTAAATTTATTTGTACTACTAGTAGTACAATATAATATATTATGACAATAAATAAACTAAATTTTCTATTAATTAAAAAAAGCTAACCAAGTTTTAAATAATGATAAGTAATTCTATTGATAAGACAAATCTATAATAATAATTGTAAATTTATCAGAATTGTATGTGAGATACAAGTCTAAGTTAGCATTATAATAAGTTTAGAAGATTTTATAGCATTTTAAGAATTTTGGTTTTAAGGATGGGAAGAATTTTAGTTATACTTTAGAAGTGAAGAATAAATATCGATAATTTATACGTCATTAAAGTTACATAGTTGCATATACAAGTTCAACAAGAAATATAATCCGAAATAAAGTTTGTGGTAGTTATTATTTATCCTGATGCCACAACTTTTGAAAGAAATCAAAGCAATTCAGCTGATATTTTGAGGTTTTGATAAAACTAATTCGAGTGCAACCGATAATAATGAATGTGCTAATCAGCAATAAACTCTATCATTCAATGATTGTCTGGCAACTCTTATTGGCGACTACGTAGTCAGAAAATTGTAAATCAAGTTTGACCTACAGTGCTGTCAAATTTGCGGCCTTGCCTGGTTTCTCGAGAGAACCTGAACATGATCGATTTTAGGGAGAATTCTTCATTTCTACAAGAATGCATCAGGCAGTTGTAGCAGGAAAACACATTTCGTTATGAAGAGGAAAATGCCTTTTGATTATTGTCGTTAGGGTTTGATCTAACTTTTACTAGAGATTGGACCACCAATTCCAAAACATACAAGGAGTTGCCAACAAATTCATCATTCAGTTAAAAAAAATGACGCATCAAATTTTTTAAAATTTGGGAAAATCAGCGAAATTAGAAAAATTAGATTTTCCAGCCAAAATTAAATTGGGCCAAATATAAATCATGGGTGCGGTAGAATTACCCGAAACCCTTCCCCAACACAACTCAACATTTCCTCGACATGACGTTTCCCCGAATGGACATGACATCATAGGGCATCTGAAGTTTTCTGACGGCTAGATATAAATGGGTGTTAAATACTTTGACAGTCGTAATAAATATCAATAACGATAACTGTCAATGCCTGGTTTGCTTAATGACATACTAATGACAAATGAATGGAGCAATTACCAAGATCTAGACTAAAGTTTTTGCCATAAATTCATTTATAAATTCTGGACTAACAGACATACATATTATTTCAGCAATCTAAATCATCAACAATTTTGAATGTCATGAATTTGCTTGTAAATATTTTGATATTTTGACATGTCACATGTCATAAATATTTAAGTATTTTAGCATGTCTAAAAGATTTTAGGCTGCTAAAAAAATATTTCTGCATATCAGAGAAATATTAGTATGAGTCTGAATAAAATAAATATATTGGTAGAAATCAAATAAAAATAGAAAATATGTATTTTTGATTGATTTGATTTAATCAAAAAAATATACTCAACATATTAAAATAATTTCGTCATATTAAAATAATTCAGTATACCAAAATTAAGATAAATTCAACATACAGTCAGACCTCCTTAAGTGCAACCCCAGCTTATAAGATATATATGTATTTTTACCTCCATAAATGCAATATCTCTCTAAGTGCAAGTTTTTGTGTAGTCCCGACGAGTTGCACTTATGGAGGTCTGACAATACTAAAATAAATTTGATATATTATGGTGCAAGTCATTTATAAATGACAATATATCATACGTATGTTATAAACTCCTCAACTAGAAAGTCAATACACAAATACATGTACGTATTACATAAATATCGATATTTTTGGATTAACTTTCTAGTTGAGGAGTTTATAACATTTAGAATATATAATATATTGTTGTTTGTAGATGACTTGCACCATAATAAATTCGGCATATTAAAATAAATCTGATATACTAAAATTAATTCGACAGATTTGAATTATAACTATCAAAAATAATTTGACACAGATACAATATTAGTAAATATTTAAATAAAATAGAACTTGTATATAATAGAGGGCAAAAGTCACTATAACACTGACTGTAAATCATTGTAAAATAACAAATCCAATAAATTTTGTAAGTATTGTTAATACTGATTCTAATATATTGTATATGATGCATAATCTAAAGTTATCAAACATTTGTATTTTATAAAATGAAACTATTAAATAATTTGGTTAAAAAATATGTCCAGCATTAAAACTTCGATTATATAAAAAATTTAACTAGTTTACTTAATGAAATATATCAAGATACTAAAAATATATCACATAAAAAATTTTAACTAGTTTACTTAATGAAACATATCAAGATACTAAAAATAAAGTAAAAATTATATAAATAATACTAAATTTGTTTATTTTATTTGTGATAAATGATAAGTTATAATGATTGATGCAATTTTACATGATGCGTTTTTTTGACTGTTTACGATGAATTGGTTTACTATGCTTATGTATTTTCTTTTTTTCTCAATTTTATTCGTCACTACCTTTCAGGATTTAGATAATTCAGTCAAGAACTTTTGACAAAAAATGATCAATTGGATGAACAAGTAAAAAATTATTGAAATGAGAAGAAAAGAGATTGAAAGTTCTCCTGAAAAACCTTCACAAAATGATATTCCGTTATTAATTGCTAATACTTCTCGAGATGTAAATTTCTCTTCTAATAATAAAGATTCAAAACCGTTAATGAATAATGAAATTAGACAAATAATGTTAGATGTTTTTGTTGCTGGCATTGACACAGTACCTTGCTTTTTCTCTTATTATAAACACTTTATATCAACATGTGACTTATTTAAGCTTCTTATAATTTAGACTTCAAATTCGTTTTGCTTCATAGTTTACTATATTTGTCAACATCCAGATGTAAAATCTCATCTATTAGAAGAAATTCAAATCTTTGAACCTATGAAACCCTCGACGAACTAATTTACACTGAAACAGTAATAAAAGAAGTAGCATGTCTCACAGTCGCACCTCTCCTATTCAAAGAATTAGAACGTGAAGATGTAATTGGTGGTTTAAAATTCAAACCTGGAACAATGTTTTGCTCAAATCTACAAGGAATACACTTAATCACGCGATACTGGAAAGACCCCGAAAAATTTATCCTGGAGCGATTTATAAAAGGTAACGAATTCGAGGCAAAGAATCTCGAAACAATGCATATATTGCGTTTGGTAGTGGTCTTCGTATATGTCCCGGAAGACATGTCGCTATGGCAGAATTGAAAGTTTTAATAGTGTTGTTTGCTGTTCGGCAAATATGATGTTCAATTGATGGATTGAAAGTTAAAATATTCTTTTATGGTGCTTAATCAATGTCATGAATTAAAGGTTTTAATTCGGCAAAAAATTAATTAGTTTTTTATAAATTATTTTAAAAAAGAGGTTTCGGTACAGAATATTAGTTATTTATTTATTACTTTCTTTTATTAAATATTTATCCCGCAATTTTCTTTCCCTTACTCTATTTCAAATTTTTATGATGAACTGGTATATGTACTATGGATAATTAATTATTTTCTATCATAAGAATAAAAAAAAATATTTTTTAAAATCATATGATTTAATTAAGGGGACAAATTTGCTGTTAAACTTGGTCACTTTTTATCGATACGGATCGTGACAATTTTGATTCTTGTTATTTATGGCGAGCACTGTATATATTGTCATTCATTTATTATCCTAGCTAAAAACTTGTAATGTTTATATTTTTATAACTTGTGAAAGTTAAATATAAAATTTTATATTATTTGATGTTTCAAGAAATAGTGCAGTCTTTTGATCCAAACTTTTGTTTTGCTTGAGCAAATCCTCCCTTTACTGGCTTAGGATACAACCCGAAAGCTTTTTCTTATATTTTTGTATGCGAGAAGTATCAATAGCCATTACAATAGCAATCCGAATTGGAAAGACGGCGGTAAATGACCAAATTTTTGATTTTAACAATTTGTTAATAAAATATTTTATCTACCATAATTTTACTTTTACAAAATGTAATGCGAAATTATATGTATAAAATTTAATAGTGCAATTCAAATATAAGTTATTATTTCTTAAATAATGCTACGCAAACAATTTTCAGAGTATTTGTGTTTTCCATCTCATGATACAATCATCACTCCATATTTTCCCAATTCCAGCTATTATGAGGCATAGGTAATTTGCTGACTAAAGTACCCCATTTTAGAAAATTTAGGCCTTAATTAACCTCGAGGCTATCAACTGAGCAATAAAGTCTGAGAAAGTTACACCGTAGGTGAAAGGTGCATGTTATCGTTATCGTTATTTTTCATTAATTATACTCTGAATTCGTAGGAACTACCGCTACCAAATGCGCTACTGCTAATTTATCTTTAAAAAACATTCTTTTAATTTGCTATTTCGTATTAAAAGTTCGCTTAATAAATAAACGAATTCAAATATAACCCATAATCATAATTTTAGTATTTAAGAACCATTTCAATACTCTAAGTTCATGCATTCTCCATTAATTGCTTGACATACAATATATTTAAGTTACCGTTACTAATACACTGGCGCTAGCGCTAGAGCTTAAATACCCAATCCCTCAGATAATCCAAACAATTCCTTCAAACACTCTCTCATCTGATCAATATAAATGGCATTACCACGCATCGCCAACGTCAACGCATAATACCGAAGATATTCATTATTGCTATTACCATCTCTTAATCTCCCCGATATTTGTAATTTCTTTGTCACTTCCAACATCTTTTGTACCCAATTATGCCGTGCCTCTACTGCACTCGGGAGCGCATTCGGCAATGGGAGTTTTGATTTCATGGTATTAGCATACACGTAAAGCAAAATGCGAAAAGTTCTCACGACTTCTTTACGTGCATCCAGCATTGGCAAATAAAAGTCGTCGATTACTTTGTTGCAAAATGGTCTTGTGCCGATACTTGTGCGTGCCCAAGAGATCCGGTCAAGCATCACTTGAATATGGTGGAATATTTGTTCGTAGATCTTTGTTTGAAATGGTCCGGAGAGTCGTGGTTCCGCCGCGGCGAATAAGAGTAGTTGATGTAGACTGAGTAGTTTGGTTTGGAGTATTATTTCTCGTTCGTAGCATTCTTGACTCAATGCTTTTACCTCTTCCTCTTTGGTTTTTTTGTCCATGACAAGCGAGGTGATTTGGGAAACTTTTTCATAGTAAAATCGGAAATTCTCGAGTAGTTCACAAAGTTGATGACGAAGTACGCGTCGAGCATAATTTGGATAGATGAAAACCTGAACGAAAAAGACCGCTGCGATAATCATTCCGGTTACAGCTAACGATTTATATCCTCTTGTAAAAGGTTTATCGAAGGCTGGGTTATCTCTATTCAGATAAGACGCGAGAATAACCTAAAAATAAAAATCAATCTTAAAAAAATGACGATAAGAATAATTTTCCTTGCTTAAAATGCTCTTACGCTCGAAAATGTTATTCTGGCAATCAAAGATCCCACCACATAAGGTGTATTTGTGGCCACATAGCATACAGGCAATGCGAAGAGAGCCGTAAAGAACGAGAGTCCATATCTATCAAATATATTATTAATTGTTAGTTTTTTTAAGATATTAAAATATACTCGATGAAATACTCACGGTGGTGAAGTTCCCCAAGTAATTAAGGATACATAACCAAACACAGATCCCAAGAAAGTTCCTAAAATAGAATACTAAAGAAAATAACGATATTGAGTTATTAATAGATATAAAAATATACGCATAAAAAAAACTTACGATGAAAGCAATAAACGAAGCTCCTTGCACAGGACTAAGTGTTACTAATAGCTATAATGATAAGAAAATATTAATGTTCAGATATACATGTATTTACAATGTACGTACATGTACGTACATGACATGTAATACATAACGATTACTTATTACATGTGTAATCTGACTTACAGGAATAGCAATCGATTGTAAATTCCATTTTACAAAGAATTTTTTTGGTTCGCCTCCAATCAACAAAGGAATTAATACGAGGCATAAAAGTAGAGCTCCTTTCAATGCAAAAATGCTCAATGGACTTATAAAAAACTGCAGGAATTTGCTAAGCCTAAGGCGAAATGATTGTTTTGATTCAGACATTCCAGCTGGCGGCGATGACGTTGAATTGGTAATCAGAAAATCAGAAAGATACGAATGAAAATGAATCCGAATAGATTTAGTTCTCTCTCCAGTCCCTGAGTTTGAACTATTATTTATTGAATGACGAAGTTGCAATAATTCTTCAACGAATTCTTTTATTCCAAACATGAAAAAGTCTACCAAAAAATCGGCTCTCTTCGATTCATTTGTTTCATTGAATGCTTCAACACTATAATGAACAGCGGAAATACTATCTCGCGAATTTCCCTCGCCAAAATTTTCTGGATCGTTATTAATGTTGTTGTCGTTCTCGATAGCAGACGGAATTGGTTCTTGGTAACAATCTAATTCTAGATTAAACAAGTTCCTTAGAATAATATATTGTTCTTCTTGAAGTATCGTCAATGTTGTCTGTAGAAGTCCATCACTACTTTCAATTGTTAAATCAAGTGGAAGACTACTTCGAATATCTACAAATGCTTTGATTCCAGCTTCCATATCAACCGTTTGGGCTTTTTTATCGGGATCGAGTTTATGTTTCATCGAAGTAATCACCAAACTACAGCCGGCATTCAAATTATTCAAAGGAGATCGTAATACGCCTAAGAATTCTCCTTGAAACTTTTCACTTTCTTTCATTGCTTCCTCATGTGCCACTATATTTCCATGTACCGCTAATAAATATTGTTGAAGTCTTTTGATTTGTGCCACGAAGCCAGTATACTCTTTCAGTGAAAATTCCGAATAGCTAATTTCAGAGTCAGCGGTTCGAAGTAACGTTGATAGTGTTTGCACGTCGGCACGAATGGAGTGTGCGAGATCATCACGATGTTCCTTTTCACTCGGTGCTATAGTTAATAAATAGGATTTGATGTTGAGATTGTTGAATGTGTTTATATTGTCGAGTGAACGAATTAATTGTCGACGTAACTCAAATTCAGCAGAATCAGGCCATAATAATAAATTGATAACCTATAAATAAATTACGTAGTACGAACATGTATTAGTGCGTTTTTCATTTCTGATAAATAACAAATGCCACACCGCCGCCACTGTTACTGTTACTCACCAAACTTAATGCCAATCCTAATAAGAAGGCAATTAACGTTTCTTTAAGCTGAATTTGATCAAAATACTCGACTATAACGATAAATGTAAATATAGAGTTAGAGAATACGTAAACGTTGGATGTTTCAGTTGACTTTGTAACAGTAATACCTACGAGATAGACGACTGACAACACTTTGAAAAGACAACAAACAAACTAATAAAGAAAAGACAAAAAATTTTGGATTGGCAGCGCGTAAAATCGACAGCGCATATATAGTGATAAAAAGAACCACTATCATTGCAGCTTTCGAGCTTCCTAGTCCTCCATTCAATAATGCATACCACGCCCCACCAAAAAGAACACCCATCAATAAATCAATTCCTCCCTGAAGAAAAGCACCGACAGATATCCCTCTACCAGTACGTACGTAGTCGATAGATTAATATGTATATTCTTAGAATTTGGTTCAATTAATTATAGAATTAGAATTAATTAATTTAAATGCTTACGGATGAGCAACGATACAGGTCAAAATCAAATTGTTGAGTGTATTAGTTCTCTGGAAATGATGTTCGAATGGATGAATAAAAACCAACAAGAATGCAAGCCAATACGCAAGACTCGCTACATATATTAGAAAGATAGTTTTATTTTATTTTGTCTTGAAATTGACTTTAAAAAAGAAGAAATTCACCTTTGATCATATTTTTACATCCTTTCGAACCAATAAATGCTAGTATTTGCTTAAATACTCCATGTTTTTTTTGTGTTGGAATAATATCTTTCTCTATAATGGGCTTATTTTTTTCTGTATCATCTTCCTTGTTATTAACGTTCGAGGAATTCATATCGAATATCGGTATTTACCCACACTCAAGCGTATCCTAACCTATATTATCATCATCTGACCAACACGTGAGTTTGGGAAGTGATTATGCAAGAATTTCCTATATTTGGGATCGAGTTTATCATCGTAAGACATTACCGCTACCAATTAAATAAACACACTTTTCTCGCTGAAAATAAATCCAAACAAAATTTTATGCCGATAAAATAAAAATGTTTTTACTTTTGCAAGATCTTCAAAAAAAATTCCATGGTATCAGAGACCCAGGAAGTGAAGATGAACATTTAATAAAATGCATAATGGATTGGTGTGCACAAAATGAAATCAGTCGTCAAAAAGTATTCAAAAAAATATGTGAAATAGCGCCCGAACACACCGAATTCGCTTGTATGCTAGGTGTACTATATCACTATGGTATTGGTACGGACATAGATCTAAACAAAATGATTTACTGGTACAAAATATCAGCGAAATCAGGAAACTCGCTCGGACAAACACAACTTGGATGGTGTTATTCGGAAGCATTTGGTATCGTGCGTGATGCAAAACAGGCATTCTATTGGAATCTAAGATCAGCCCAAGGCGGAAATTCCAGTGGCGCATATAATCTTGCACATTGTTATCGATGGGGTGTTGGCACCGCAATCGATTACCAGAAATCATTTTATTGGTATAAAAGATCGGCTGAAGCAGGAATCGTGAGCTCTCAGTTTAGTTTGGGGAGATGTTATCGGTTTAATTGGGGTGCTAATAAAGACTTGCATAAAGCTTTATATTGGTATCGGAAATCTATTTGTAATGGATACGGCACTTGGTTTTTCGAGTTGGATGAGGCATTCAGTAATTTCACTGGAACTTTTTATTAGGATAAAACGAGCCCACGATTGCAAGAATTAATAATCTAATTTCTATAATATAATATTAGTAATATAATATTCATAATTACTTTTATAATATAGTAAATATCATCTATTTTTATCACTTTGAAGAATCTAAATCTTCCTGACTACTTGAAATATCTCCCAATCCTCCCAACAAAAATTCTCATGTTTCGGCATCAAATTCTCTTTATACGCCCGTCGCATTGTTTTTCCCAGTTTTTTCTCATTGTTAACACTAACCCACAAATCGGGACCTAGACCGAAACAAGGGCCATCCCAAAAATGATCATAAATCCCACTTTCATGATATTGTGGTAACACCCTAATCAATCTAGCTCCTTTTAAACTTGTCCTACTCGAAAATGAGAACAAGAATGCATCCTTTGTTCCACGTGAAGAATTAAACCAGCTACGTTTCCAGCCTGAAGACATTGGATTGTATCCTCCGATAATTTCATCGCTGTTCTGTAGTTTCACGACTAAAATTGTTGGACCAACGTTATCGCATTTTTTGTGAAATTCTTTTGGGGAGCTTGTTTTTATCCCGTTTAGACTTGAACGATATAGTCGTCTGAATTTGTAGCGAAGATTTTGATCAAATATCTTCGGGTGGCCTTCTATCCATGATGCAATTAGAGTAGCATGTTTTGGTTTTATGATCAAAGAGTCGATTGTTATTGGTGGAAGTCTTGGTGATAAAAATTTAGTTTCGGAGTTTAGTGATTTAATTATGCCACTTATGTGATACTTTACTAAATCACTGAAAAGACTTTCGGGCAATATTGACCGAAACGGTTGAACATATTTAACAAAATCCACCGTTGATATCTCAAAGAATCGTATTAATGGCAAAAAAGTATCGAGCATTTGTTTAAAGGAATAAAATTCCTTCTCGTCTTCAAACAAAAATGCTTGACTGAATGTATCAAAAGATTCAATTTGCAGACGATTACATGTAAAAAAGATCCACCTAATCAAATTATTCCAAATATCAATTTCACGTATGTTCAAGTCATCACGTCTCATTATTTGCAAGAGTATCGATTGATCGAGTACTCTGAAACTTCGCGACTTAAATACCAGACTTGCGTCATGCTCGATATGATCGAAGCAGAAATTTAAAAGTTTGTGACATGTAGCAGCTCTTGGAACCACAGCGTTTAATACTTCGGCCAATATTCGGTGAATCCAAAAGTTTTGATTGTTAATGAAGAATGATTGGATTTCTTGTGATAATTCTTCGATTATCATTTCGTCGGCTGCTATTAATAAATTCAGGCAGTCAATTGGCTCGTATTTGTGCAAATTGGTGGAAACTATTTTGTTATCATAAAAATACCTAATTTCATAAGAGAATCGTTAGAAAACGTGTACCGATACAAATATAAATACGAGAAATTAATTACCTTAGCAATATTTCGAATACGCGAGAAGAAATATTTGGTTTCTTGAAAAAATATTTACCATCCTTCATTATCGCCCATTTACTTGAAAGTGCTATCGAAAAATACAATGAATGCTCTTGCAGTAGCGTCATGCTTGCTTCAAATTGTCGTATTTCGCCAAAATTTTCGCCTACTTGAATCATCACAGTGCTGAATTTTGTTCTATCGTCATGGGTGGAATTTCGCATCATCTTTCGTGTTTGATTATGTTTATTTTCCTGAAAAAACTTTGTTGATTAATTCGTATGCCACGTATATATATCGATATTCTTGCACGCTTACATGCAACATATGATGGCATGTGACCAATTGTACTTTACTAACTTAGTTTGTTCCCATCATTGTGACTAAAACTTCTCCTAGAAGTATTGGTATTAGAAGATAAGATCAATTATCCCTGAAAGCTTATTTGATGGCCAAAAACGCGTCAACGTTGATTTTCAAATACATGTACATAATGTACACATGATTGCATAAACGGTAATATGCAAATCAAAATTATCATTAGGGGAGTGACATATATTACATAATATCGAGTTACTATAAAGGTAACCCCTCCCCCAGGTGAGATTTTTATTATATTTTGATTGGCTAATTATTTTTGATCACGTGGAAGATGAGGTTTTTGAGACCCCCCTCCCCCCTGATAATTACGTAATATATGTCACTCCCCTTATTGTTATGCACTGTTTCGATGCTATTTTACAATGCAACGAAATTTGAATCATTAAAAAGGTTTCTAATATAAGCTAAATCAGTCAAGTCTTAATTTTTTATAACCATATGAAACAAAAGAGGTGCACGAGAATACTACATTTAGTATGGATCAAATTTAGGTTCTTATTGCTGATTTTTTATTCTCCCATTTACTGACTAATTTAAAAATTCGAAACAGTATTCTATCACTAGCCTTATGCATGGTATAATAGGTCATATGCCCGCCTTTATTTAAAGATATGTTATGAAAATTAAAGAATGCAAGACAACTTTAGCATTTCAATAAATTTAGGAAACCATTTATTACTATGCTCAATATTTCTAGTCTTCCAAATATCTATCGCTATTTGCTAAATGGATTAATCGAGATGTGTTTTGGTTTAATTTAAGCAAAATTGTATTTCATAATTATTGCAATATTTTTTCTTTTTTCTGAAAAGGCATTTGCAGTAAAGGTACCTGACTAAACTATTTTTAAATTGGCTAATGGTTTCGTCACTTTTGCAATTCTGCCAAAAATTTTATAACTTAATATTTTTATAATAATCTTAAAGAACATATTCTTTAGAATAATATTCCAGAAAAAAATTAATTTGGTCACTAATTATTATAGGTCAAAACATTTTGTCTAGAGTTTCGTCATTCGTCAAATTTAACTTCGTCTACTAATTAAATCAATTTTCATAGCAAAATTTATGGCTGAATTCGCATCATTTCCCCGTATGGTGTCTTATAAGAAAAATACGCCTGTAAATTTCAATATACGTACGTACATGTACTGTATGTCCGAAAAAGTCGGATATGTCTGTAAAAGATACGTATTTTCTCCTTCACTACGCACAACACAAACACAATAGGAAATAGGAAAAATGTAAATTGTTGCTAGTTAGAATGTTACCGTTACGAATTTAGCAGAGCAAAAACTAAATTCTTTTTACAGTTAGAAAAAATCTATTAATTAGAAAGATGGCTGAGAATAGCAAGTATTACGAGAAAAAATAATAAAAGCATAATGAAAAAACCATAAGTTATTGAAAAAACGAGCAAAATAGGGAAATTCTTGATAAGTAATTTTAAAACGTAAAGAGAAAATGGGAAAAATTTAAGGAATTATAAAATATTTCGTGAGTTTAACTGATACAAATATTATCATAATTCATTTTATCACCAGTAAAAATTAGAAAAAGGGATTTAATTGCAGCTATATCATCAAATAAATTTTTTATTGCTATAAATATTATTATATAATTATAATGTATCTTTATAGTACAGTTCCACCGGAAAGTAATGACCGATTGACGTTTAAATTAATATTAAAACTCACAGAAAATGTCTACTTCTCTAAAATTTTTATGGTCGATCGGCTGAACACTTTTTTATAATACACTAAAACCAGTTTCTTAATAAAGTTTTCGAGATATTAAAGGTTTTTTTACAAACGGTTCAGTTAGGGATCCACGCTAAACAAAGCTCAATAATTCGAAAACTACATTATTAAATCAGTTTTTGCCCATAAAAAAATTGCTTCCCCAATCTATATCTAGTTAATTCCAAAAATTCAGCATAAATATTAATTATTTTTTAAAATATTTTAAAAAAAGTAAAATAAATAAAAAAAATAGATTAAATATTAATATTTCTAGATATAAATTCTTGTGTATATTATAAAAATAAAATTTTAAATTAAATTATTATGTAAAAAAAAATTATAATAAAAAAACTGCCAGCCATTACTTTTCTGAAAACTGTAATAGCAAGTTTTTTAATATAAAAATTATAATTTTTAATTACTAAAATTATTATGAAATAAGTTGTACTGGAAAACTCTAAATACACAAATAATCTAAAAAAATAATAGTAGATCCTGTTTAATATTTTAATAAAAATGTATTATTTATTAAACTTACAATATTTTGAGAAAAAATATTTTTATAATACTTTAAATATCAAAAATTTTTAACAAAAAATTTATCTATTTTTTTATAACACTTTATATTTATTTAAATAATTAAAAATTGAACTTTAATAATAAATTTTATATATTTTGTATATTTATTTAAATAATCAAAAATTAAACTTTGATAATAATTTTTATATATTTTGTAATTATTACAAGATTATTTGTTAATTGAGAAATTAGCTTGCAAATTTGAATAAAATTTAGAAAATAATATTAAATAATAAGATATACTAATAAAGGTAAGATATTATAATAAAAATCTTATATCAATTTTTATTAAAATTATTTTTATTCAATTTATAAAGAAAATATATTACAAAGAAAAGAAAATTTCAAAATAAAGATAAAATTAATATTATCAAAATTTAATAATAATTATTATAAGAAAGTTTCTTTTATTTTGTTTTTATAAGAAAAGATATTATATTTTCAACAAGTAAAAAATAATAAAAATATTAATTTAATAATTTTAATAAAATTTTAATTAGCTCAATATAATCCAAATAAAAGAGTTATATAAAAACAACTAAAAAATTTCTTTATAAATTAATAAATTATTTATATAATTTTTATAATTTTATAGTTTGTTAAAAATTATAAAATTAACAAATTCAATATTATTACTATAATAATATCTTGCAAAATATTATTAAAATATTATAAAAAGCTACAAATAATTATTAATTATTATTATATTATATGTGGGGGATCATACTGAAACCGAATCATACTGAATATCACGTGATCTGCAAGGGTCAGATACGATCCATCCAGTGATCTGCAAGAGTCAGATCATGTAAATTACGATTCATCCGGTGCATCCTTGAAATACACGTGATTCACTATGTAACCCCCACCCGAATAAAAAACAGCCAATAAGAATACATAAATTTTTGATAAACAAATCGACACAAAAAAAT